CTACAAAAATGATGTAATATTATCATTATATCAAAATGACAGAAGCAAATGTCAGTGAGGAGAAACATTCTGAGCAGTATAAAAGCTTTAAAAATGCAGAGTATTATGGCTAGGTTTTTCATTAGCCCCATATAGCTATGACATCCCACCTCTACTCAATATTCCACCATCCTTGTTCAGAGTAGACCTGATGAAAAGAAACACTTCACTTTCATGAAACTCAGTAATGAAGCATTCTTACTTTCCTGAGACAAAAAGAGATAGAGTAAGGAGGAAAGGAGGAAAGGAAGGAAGACAGGAAAGGAAGGAAGAAGGGAAGGAAAGGAGGGAAGGGGGAAGGAAAGAGAGAGACAGACAGACAGAAAACAAGAAATCAAGAAAAGAAAAGAAAAAAGGAAAGTGGGTCACTGATAAAGCTAAGTGATATAATAAAGCTCATGCACTTTATTTACATAGGGGGATGTTCCTGGGACTCACACTTAGAGTTGATTTGCTCATATTTTAGGCAGAACTTTAATGAGCATGATTGTTTAGTTTTCCAGTTCAAGTAACCTGGAGGCAGGTCACAGGGAGATACACACTGGCAGCATCACAGAAAGTGACAGCTGGCAGCCTGAGAGTTGATGAAGACAGGAAAAGTCTGAAAAAATTGATACCAAAACTCTAAACTGGAACTCCTACAGGTTCAAACACAGAACCCTGAACTCAACAGGATCTGTTACAGCCCTTTAGAATAATTTATGATTGAGTCATCAGGACAAGATCAAATTAGAATGCTCTATTTAATAAAGAAGGGAAGTATACATATATTTTCAAAGATGTTCACCAAAAATAGTTTAAATGAACCTATTTTTATACACATGAACTTTATAACCAGAACAACTCATTTCCGTAGTTTTGGATAGATAGCTGACATTTTACTGTACATTGGATACCTCTCAGTTTTAATCCCAAGGCACCTGCCCTTCTTACCCCTCACTGGCCGGGAAGCCACACTCAGGAAACACAATGTGTTTATGCTAGTACTACCCAAAACCTAGCAAAATTTGGCATATAAAGTTACCGCTACCCTCCCCAATATAAAATCATACACTGCTAGCCACCCCAGCCCTACATAGATGATTCCAGACTTATCTCTACTGCTGCCTGCTGCGAATCATAAGTAATATATGTTATTATATGTTCTGGTCAAGTTTAAATCCAATTTTAGCAGGCCACTTAAGAATATATCCTTCTAATCTAACAGTCTGAGTTTCTTGTGATTTGATTTGTCTTTGAATCCCTTGTGTTGGATGCTCAAGAAATCAAATTATCATCACCCAATAGAACTGAACTCTTGAACCTAGAAGAGAAAGATAATAGATTGACTTGGACCTAGAAGATGGAGCAAGATCTAGATAAGTGATATTTTGCATGCTTCTTTTCACAAATGTTAACAAAGGAAAAATCAGGTCACCAGTACCAGAGCAAACATGAGATAATTCTACTGTGCAAATGGTTTAGGTTTCTAGATACTGTCAATACTTGAAGTAAGAATGAAAAGGAAAAAAGAAGGCAAAGATGGGTGTACAAACCCCAGGAAAGAAACATCATTCACTTTTGGATAGCATGTCAAATTCTTTTCACATTGTTTCAAGGAGGAAATAATGGAGACAAGCTTTGCAAAGTCATTCATAAAAAGTCATAGTTATAGGTTGGAGGAAAGGAGGCATGTCAGTCAGAATAATGTCACAGCGATAAACAGCCCTGAAATTTCAAAGCTTAAAACAACAAAGATCTCTTTCTTTCTCATGCTGCATCTTCACTGCCAGTTAACTGGGACTGTGCTCTGTGTTGTCTGTTTTCCTCACTCTAGGACCTAGGCTAACAGTGCAGCTATTATCTGCTCATTGCAGTTCACAGTGACAGAAGGAAAGGTGGAGTAGCACAGCATACACTGGCTCTTAAAATGTGCATTTGAAAGTGGCCATGATCATTTCTCTCACATTTTCTTGGCCCAAATAAGTCACAGAATGAAGCTTGACTTTTAAGGGAGTAGGAGGTCCTCCTTCTTCAGGGAGGGACTTTAAATATGGATGTGCTAGAATGCAGTCACTAGGCGGTAGAGCAGGAATGACAGGTTGTCCACCAGAGGTCAGGACTTTTCTATAGAGCGTACATAGAAATCCTATGGAGGGCTTATTAAACTGCAGCTTTCTGGGGCCCACCTCCATTCATCCTAATGCAGTCACCTTGGGAGAGGCCCAAGAATGTGTATTTCTAACAAATCCCCAGGTGATTCTGATGTTCAGGTCCCTGGAGCACATTTTGAGGAGAACCGATCTAGAGCTGTGCCTGGGAAGCAGCTGCCCAGACAGACACTGAATGTCCCAGCCTCACCCTTGCATCCAGATGGGGCCAAATGACTAGTGTTAGTGTTCACCAAGGAGGTATGAGAAGTGATGTGTGTCACTTCTTGAAGTAAAGTGGTTAAAAAACAATTATGTCTCTTTTTTTCCCCACTCTCTTCTCCCATATACTTTTTACATGTGGATGACTAGGGAGACATTGTAGTTTCATCAGTCTGAAACATCTTTCCCTACTGACAGGAAGCACCAGCATTGGATTACTATGGGAAAGAGAACACATGTTTTTTCATGCTAAGTCCTTGAAATTTTGGGGTTTGTTTGTTACAGCAGGTAGTATTATCTTAACTAACACTGGAGAGAAGGAGAAGAAGGTCAAGAGGATCTCTTCTGCCTCCTTAACTTGCACTAATATCACCTTCTTTGATCCCCCTGTACTATATCTCTTTTCTTCTCTAAGTCACTGTGATGACATAAAATTAGGTAGATTAGGGTTAGAAAGTGGAAAAACTCAGAATCATTTTAGTTCCTGCTTAAGGTCCTAGCTGTAATCCATTCATTTATAGTTTATTTATTCATTTAACAAATCCTACCTGGTGCCTACTTGCATATATTTAAGACATAGTCCTGCCTCCAAAAATGGCATAGGAATTACCCCGGCGTCTCCCACAATGGTGGCAGATATCAAAAATCAAAAGAAATACATTTTCTCACTGAGTCCAGAGAAAGCCTCAGAATCCTTTACAGCTGAGTGCTCCAGAAAGCCATTACAAATAAATCCATAATGGTGGTTTTATCATAAAAAAAGCAATATGTATCTAAGCTGTTTCTATTTGTATCTCAATAAATGGGCTTTTCCAAAGATGTTGCAAAGAGGTTTGGTCTCTCATTTCAATCTACTTCTAATGTAATAGAAACTGTAAAGACCAAGTTACATTTGCAGCTAAGTTTCCACACTGATTAGGTTCCACTAAGCAGATCTATCTGCACAAAACTTGAAATGCAAAAATCAACCTTGTGAGATTATAGCCTTACATGAAGAGACCAAACCTCCTGGCCAGCATAACCGCAGAAGTGTTTGATTCTCCTGAGGCTGCTGTGAGGCAGGTTCTATAGGTTAGAACCTGTCATCAAAGGTACAGAGCAGCTGGTGTCTGTGGCAGTTAGGTTTCTCTAAGCAAGTCTCTTGGAGTGGCTTGGCAATTCATGAGGCGGCATTGTTCCTGAACAAGCAGGACCGACACTTGTTTCTGTTCTTCATCTAGGTAACAGAGTCTCTTGTTTGGATCCAACACTTTAGAGGCTTTATCTAGCTCTCCTCTGGCCACCCCCTAAACACTGAGTGAGGAATATGTGGGGTCAATGGGACACACTTAACTGGAGCCCTAGCCCCAGACTGTGCCTTAGGAATCATGGACTCAGATTCCTTACCTTGTTTCCAGGGTCTCTGTGCAGCTCCTTCTTGGGGCTTTTTTCTCCTGAGAGTGAGCCACACAACCAATGTGGACACCTTTAGGTCTGAGAGTGGCTGCAGGGCAACTTTTTCCCATGGGTATAGATAGAGCCACCCATATGCCATGAGAGTCCCTCGCAGCACAGTAAGGAGCCAGAGATAAAAAGAGAAGGTGGAAAGCCTGGGCTGGCAACTGGTTATGCTTTCCCCATGCCATTATACTTTGGTGAGGAACCCAAAAGAGTTTGAGAATTTTAAAGCCTATCTTGACCTCCCAGCTCACTTAGGAGGTATATTTCTCAATGTGGGAACATAGCACATATGTTATCACCAATCTGAAGCTGATGTTTAACTTCTGAGTACTTAGACATGTTATGTGGGTATCCACTCCTACTCTTGCCCCAGATCCCACAAATTTTATTAGCAGGACTACTCAGTTCTCTAGCCTCTACTACATTCTGTAAATTACCTTATGCTCTATAATAAACTTCCTTCTGCCTAAACTATCCAGAATATATTTTATTCTCTAAAACCAAGAACTCCGGCTGTTACAGTTCCCTCGATGTTTAGAAAGGAGTAGTATTCTCCTTTTGTTGCAGATAAATTCATATCACCTCCAAAAATATAGAACTCTTCCAGTACCAACCATAGCTTCAATTTTCTGTGAGTGACCCTTCCTGATCCCAAGGTTTTGTACCACAGCAGCAAGAGTATTGATGTTGAATGAAAGCCTAGATTGGAAACCCAGCTCTAACACTTAACTAGTGTGCGCTTTGAATAAGCCATTTTTAACCTCTCTAAATCCTAATTTCTCACCTGAGTACTGAATAAGATAATATGGGTACTTTATTGAATGCAGATGTAACACTGCTATTGCTAATGCTGCACCTAAAGAAAAGAGTTAATAGCTGACTCATTAGGTATGCTCCCTAATGCCTTTTCTTTTATTTACTTCAGAAACCCCGGTTGCAATCACTCCCCTCTGGAAAACCAATTCCACTGTCCTACCTTATGACTGCATTAGGAAATATTTCTAGAAAGTCATTCAAGTGTTTCCATTTGCCAATTCCATTCTGGTACTCCAAGTTCTAACTCCTTATGCTACAGGAAACCATGTTCTTCCTTGCTTGCTATTTAAATGCTTCAAGGACTTGTCAAGCATTATTATGTCATACTCACCCTACTCGGGGATTTAATCACACACTCCATGCACTTCAAGAGATATTCATTTTCTGAAGTATCCAATGACATGATCTGCAATAGCAAGATAAGGATTCAAGCATTTAAGTTCCTCTTGGGTTTTCTTGATTTTCAGAGTCTTAAGGAATCTTTTAGAGTTAGTCCTATAGCAATACAAGTTTCAAATAGCTTTCATAGCATGATGCATTTTCTTTCATTACGTTTTTCAGATTAAAGGCTATTACAACAGTAGCCTATGTTAACAGGAAGATAAGATTTCTGTTCCTGGCTCAGAAACTTGGAAAAGGGAACATTCTAAAAGTTATTTTATTGGCATATTTCAGTCAAATGCCTAAAAATCCATAATGAGATGAGCAAGGGCTGCACTGGGTAATTTCTACTTTTAAAAGATTCTTTTAGTTTCCAATGGTCTCCACCAGATGGTTCTGTAAAGTTCCCCCCACCCCCAAAAAGTAAATGATTAATTGGAATTGTGGAACCATTGAGACATGGCACCAAATATAGAAACTTTGGGGAAAAAATGTTTTAAATTTTGGAAACAATTGATACATCTATTGGCGCTGTGGCTCGGAGCTTGGGCAGGTTGGCTCCATTCTTTGTCTTTCTTCAACTCAGCTCTCCATTAGAGGGAGAGACTGAGCCCTGCAGTACCTGTTTCCCAGGATCCCAGATCAGTTGTCTTCTGGCTGAGTTTTGACAAAGAAAGACACTGGCTAGAGATTGAATGGGGTGGGAGAGAAGCCAGGGCCTTTCTCCTCCTGCCTCTCTACCTAAGGCATCTTCTCAGCATTTGCTTCTCCTCTATGGCTACAGCTCCTTGGTTTCATTGCTCAGCAGGTTTATCTTAGTTCCAGCTTTCACCTGATGACTCCCTGGGCAGTAATGTTTTATGAAACTACGTATTTCATCTTTTTAGCCCATAAATAGTAGTGATCTCCTGCTGTTTAACTTTGGAATACCTTGTCATTCCCTCTGTGGGTCTCAGAAACTCCATCACCTGTGTAATAAATCCCTGAATTAAATTCACTGTGTTGGAAAGTCTTAAGGTGGTTTCTGTTATCTTGGTTACACTCTGATTGATAATATAATGCATTGATTTTTTTTTTTTATTAGAGCGAGAGAGGGCACAAATGAGTGAGGGTGAAGGGAGAGAGGATCCTATGAGGGGCATACAGAGAGAGACAGGGAGGGAGAAGGAGAGGGAGAGGAGCGGGGATCACCCAAAGTGGGGCTTGTGTTTACCTGAAGTGGGGCTCAAGCTCACCCAATGTGAGGCTTGAACTCATGAACCATGAGATAATTATCTGAACCAAATTCAGATGCTTAACTGACTGAGCCACCAGGTGCCCTATACGTATTGACTTTTGAAGCAATGCACATGGATATTACTGCACTAATAGGAATGTTAAGGAACTGGGATACAATAGGTCACTTTATAGATTTTTCAGGATACTACATTAAATGAAGCATAAATTGTGGAAAAAACTGCCCCCAGCAAGAACAAGAAGATTAAATTAGAGGTACCAGTGGAATCTGGGAACTTGATTATCTTTTTTTTTTTTTTTCCCCTCTCTCCAGGTAAAACAATATATAGGTGAGCAATGAACACAAGAATAATCACTGACCTATTTACCAGTCTGACTTTGGGCCAGTAGATTTATTATCACTGCACTATTATATAGGGTGGACTAAGGTGTTCATTAGAACAGCTCAAGGAAACATCTGAAAATATTACATCTAGCGTGTTAACAAAACAAGTGCCAAATATGGTATAAACCAAAATCACAGAAACATCTGCCTTAATTTTGATCTCTTTCTTTCATTTACTCATTGAGCTCCTATTGTGTGTCAGTCATTCTTCTATGTCCTATAAATATATACCTGAATGAGGAACAACAACAAAAAAATCCCTTACTTGTGTGGAGCTTATGGTATGGAGTGGGTGGAGGTAGTGTTTAGACCAATAGCAGTCAACAGGTTGAAAACCTCATAGGAAAAACAGCCAATCCACACTTTAATATTTTTTCTAAGCTATTTCTGTCATCATAAGTCCTAAAAGAAAAAAGGAGATTGTTGTCTTACTCTCTAAACTACAGTTGTACAAAAGTACTTGACTTGAATTTTGCTAAGTTTGATTTGAGTTCAAGTTCTTTACTTTCCTAAATCTTTAAATCATCTTATTTATTTGTTTGTTTAATTTAAATTCAAGTTAGTTAACATACAGTGTAATCTTGGCTTCAGAAGTAGAGCCTAGTAATTCATCTCTTACATATGACACCCAGTGCTCATCCCGAAAAGCACCCACCCTAATGACTGTCACCCATTTAACCCATCCCCCCACCCACCTCTCCTCCAGCAGCCTTTAGTGTGTTCTCTGTATTTATCAAACATCACTCACATAGGCTCCCTGAAGTAATTTTAAAAGTAGAAAATTATGTTGAGAATAGAGACATTTAAGTTTGGAAAACTGAAATTAGTGGATAGCTCTCATTTTCATTTTATTCTTGATTTTCAGCAAATGACTGTGATGTGCTTGTGGATTGCTGTTGCTGTTCCAAAAATGGGGATTTTAGGTCATTAATTTTTCACATTTATTTTTCTGCCTTATTCAATCTTTCTACATCTGTGACTTCAACTATATTTTCCTTTTTACTTTAAATGTTTAGTTATTTTTGAGAGAGAGCATGAGTGAGGGAGGGCCAGAGAGAGGGGGACAGCAGATACTAAGTGGACTCTGCACTGACAGCAGTGAGCCCCATGCAGGGCTGGGACTCACAAACTGTGAGATCATGGCCAGAGCCAAAGGGACGTTCAACTGACTGAGCCACCTGTGCCCCAATTACACTTTACTTAGAACAGTTTATAAGGTTCCATGGTCATTAAGAATATATTCTTTCTTATTAAATCCTTTCTTCTCTGTTCTTCAGAGTAGATAATTTCTATTTTCCTATCTTCAAGTTCACTAGCTTGCTGTTGTTATTTTTTTTCCAGTTTCCAGGCTGCTGTTAATACAATCCAATCAATGTTTAAGTTTCAGACAGTGCATTTGTTAGTTCTGGAATTCCATTTGGTTCTTTTTCATAGTTTCCATTTTTCTGAGATTTCCCATTGTATATCTCCTATATACATCTTTGCTTTTAAATTCTTAAATATATTTTAATAGCTAATTTAAAATTAGTACACTTAACTTCTAAGTCTTCTGGGATTTGTTTTTTTTGGCTGCTTATTTCAAAATTATTGTTCACATCTTCTTTTTATTTTTTCATGTATCTAGTAATTGTTAAAATTTTATGAAAGACCTTTAAGGTAACATTATATTACACACACACACATATATGTGTCATACATGGATATGTATATATATATATATATATATATAAAAAATGTATACATATATACATTTAGGTTAGATCACATTAAAATGAGTCTGATTATTTCATTTTCCTTTAAAAGCTATTGAGTTTTGTTCTGGCAAGCAGTAAAATAGCTCCTTCTTTTAAATGTCCTCTTTTATGGTCTCATAAACTGTCTCCTATTCCTTCAAATGCATCTGACCAAATTCCTCTACCATAAAAACTATCACACTATCAAACTATCTCTTTTCAGGATAAAAGAGGCTGTTCAAATTATAAGCAATTCAGAAGTTGTGCATATTAGAATTTGAGATCCATTTCATCCTTTTATTTCAAGGGTACTTCTGTGTGGAGAACCCACTATACAGATTTGTATATATTATTTTGTATTACATATAAAAATTATATTCTGTAAGAAACTAATATATTTTTTGAAGTGTAAATAGTCTTTCCAACATCAATTTTATAAAACATCTTATTAGTTTGAAAAAAATATCCTAATTCCAGGGAAGGAGTACTAACACTTTCATGGAGCTTTTCTAAAATTAGAGGAAGTAAGAACAGTACTTTGGAAGTAAAACAAACAAAACTACTTGATAATCTCTGGATGAAACATGTATGAATGTGAGAACATTTATCTTTCTGGAGACACACCCCATGGCTTTCAATAGATTTTCAATTGGAATTTTCAGTTGCTCAAAAAAGTTAAAACTTACTGCTTATAGGTTTCTTAAGGTTTTTGGGGAGGTACATAAAGAACAAAACCGTCACAAATTAATGCTTGAATACAAAATACTAGTCTAAGTTACTGCTACAGTAATTTACCCATCATAAGAATGTGTAGAAGTACAAACCTCAGGGTACAATAATCAATACAATTGCAAAGTCAGCCCATGTCTGAAAGGGTGTCTTTTTCCAGTTTGAGCCGAAGATGTAAAACCCATTTGTTTTGTTTTGTTTTAAAAGAAAACCATATTTCTTGCAAAAACATTTTTTAAATACTTAAAACTATAAAGAAAAAAATGTAGTCTCCTCATAGATAAATAGCCAAACATATTAAAGTACTTCCTTCAAGTTTTTATGTGTGTGTGTGCATGTGAAAAAAGATATATGGATAATATATTACAATATTGGAATGATGCTCTTAATATGATGTGTCTTATGTATATCACTAAAAACATAACATGGGACTTTTCACATCACTAAATGGTCTTTGAAAAATGTGACTTTTGATAACATCTTTATTGTATAGATAATTTACTTATCTGTTCTTTTATCTAAAGATTATGCTGTTTTCAGTTTTTTAATTATCCAATAAATTAAATAATTGTCCCCATGTCTGATTCTTCCCTTACAGTACAGTATTTCTGAAATAGAAATGGTGGGAAGAAGAATGGTAATAAAGATGGCAGCACATGAAGCCAGTGTAATGTTGAGAGAAAAGCTGGAAATTCAGAAATGCAGGGTGGTTTTAGCTAGCATTGTTTTCATAACTGAATTGAGAAAGAGGGCATGCCAAAGCAACAGGCTTTCATAAAATAGTGGCTTTGAAATTCCAACAATCATTGGAAATGGGAGCTTAGACCAAAGACTTGTAAATCTCCAGCAGAATTTTCTGTAGCATGTGCTGCAGAATATCCATTGTGTGGGATTTTAATAGGTGTTACATTAGGGAAGTGTTCTGAGGTATAGTGACTTTGGGAAATAGACTTAAAGCCAAACAAGATTTTTGCTATTATGTTTTACTGCAGGACTTCCTAGAACCTTTAATGTTCTTATATGTTTTTTAACACACCAAACAGAGACTATAACATGGAACGATTCCCACATTTATTTGGCCACAAAATTTTTGGTGCACTAAAGTATCTGGAGAGAAGAGTGTTCTGTGGAATACCAGATTGGGCAAAAGTACTTGAACAGAATTGAGGAAAAGTAAATTATAGTCAAGGCCAGTGGAAAAACCACATCAGTTTAAGTTATAGATTAGGTTAAATTGTTTTATGGCAAGCATTGCATGTCTTGAAATCTTGCTTTCAATTCAAATTCCTTATCTCTTTAAAAATGCCACACAAGCTATATTCTTCTTTTGTCAGTACATGACTCTACACAAAAGTAGGATTTGGTCGACTGTGAGTTTTACTTCATCATGATATGTTTTTGTGGAGGCCATATAATATAGTGACAAAGTCCCAACATAGGAGTTAAAACAGGGTGACTGGCTCTGCCACTAGCTAACTTTGTGACCTTAGAAAATAAACTCAGGTTCCATGAGCTTTGTTTGGCACAGTACAGGTATACAATAAATGGTTGGTTCAATGAATGATTTAAACTTGGCATTCAGAAACTTTTCATTCTCACCTGCTGTCATTGATGGACTTCAGGAAGATCTAACTGCTTCTCTGTGACTAAGCTCTGATGGTAATGTTTTTCTCTAAGGTCCACAGCATTTTTAATAATGATGCTATACTGTAAAGACATAAATCAAGAGGAAGACAGATAGTTCAACTTTCCATCAATAATTAAATATTAAGTGCATTTCTGTCCTGCCTTCTACCTACACAGATATTTGTGCCCCAGGGATCAGGGACCTTTCTCGGCTACATTTTCTGTATTACCTCCATAATTCCAGGTTGGCCTATGGTTTATTTGTCCTCACAAGAGAAATGTTCAACTTGGAGTTACTAAGCTTCAGGGGGCACTTGAACCCTATGAAATTGTGTATAAACATTTTCTCTTTACGTGAGAACATTCATCTTTCTAGAGACACACCCCATGGCTTTCAATAGATTTTCAAATGGAATTTTCAGTTGCTCAAAAAAGTTAAAACTTACTGCTTATAGGTTTCCTAAGGTTTTTGGGGAGGTACTTAAAGAACAAAACCGTCACAAATTAATGCTCGAATACAAAATACTAGTCTAAGTTACTGCTACAGTAATTTACCCATCATAAGAATGTGTAGAAGTACAAACCTCAGGTACAATAATCCACACAATTGCAAAAAGGGAAAAAAAGCTAGTTAAAGGGATTTTCTCTTCTTCGTAGCTTCCCAAGCTCCCAACTGCTGCATGGAAAAAATAAAATAATAAAATAAAAAACCTGTAGGAAAAGTATCTCAATGATATGTTATTAAAACAGCAATTAGCCAGAAAGAAGTGTCATCATTGGCAATAAAAGAGATAATATTTATCCATTTATTATCCATGTAACGACCTTAAAAAGAAACATTTCTATAGGATTGTCCAGGGTCATCAGAGTGCCTATGAAATAGTCCACAGTGATTGGACCTTTTTTGGGGAGGAAAGTCGGCCTACCTGCAGGTAATTTGGGTATCTTTAACCCAATCCTGATTGATTTTGGTGATATATTATCTCTGCCTGCTCTTGAGTTCCAGGTCCCAATTTATTAATGCCTATTCTAGATTAAAATCACATGTATGTCTCCATACACCTCTGGACCTCACTGTGTGACAGTGTGGATGATGATAATGATCTGATATTGGTCTAGTACTTAGTATGTGCCTCACAGAAAGCCTTTCAGGTAGTGACTATTATTAGTTTACAGACAAGGAAACTAAACTATGGAAAGGTTATGTAAATTATCCTGGATCCCAAGTTAGCAAATGCCCAAGCCAGCACTTAAGCCCCGTCAATCCAGAGCTTATTATGCTACTTTGCCTCTATTTGCTCATATATTCCTCATTTCTTATCAACCTAATTTTTTCCATTTTTGGTCTCCTCAGCTCCCCCACTCAGAATGCCCTCAAAGTTCTTTCTATGTTCAACTTTCAGAAACTTCCAGCATTTTCTCCTGGCTAAAATGGAGTGGGACAAAATGGAGTCATCCTAGGTCACTAGGGACCTTTTAGGGATCTTTATTGTCATACCCCTTGTTGGTCAATTATGCCTGAATTCAGTCATTTGTGACAAGAAAGGAAGTTGAAACATTTATGTTGTAATGACCTTAACAAAGTTGGAGTTAAACTCTGAATAGTCAAGTTTAAAAGATTATATGTAGAAGTGTTACAGGTCATATGCAGAAGACTAAGTGTACTGGGCTGTCCAGGAATAGATATTACATTGTATATGACTATTTATCAAAGTTTAGCCAAGATTTTTCTCAGTTCTGTTCTATCTGTGCTAGTATTTAGTTAATATTTTGATTTAAATATACTCATTTTTAGTTGAATATATTTATAAATGAAAGTTTATTTCATCACAATAAATGGAAAACTAGTACCATTTGACCTAAATAGAGGACAATTTACAAAGCAAACACAGAAACCATGTTGTCAATATCTACTTAGATTTTATGATCTTCTAAGTCTCTAATTTTTGTGGCTTCTTTCCTGTTGTTAAAAGGGAAAATTATGTGGTATTAGAGAAAAACTAGTACTAAACTAGGATTTCTCTTTGATTCAGTCAGAAGAGCTAAAGGGAAATAAAGAGCATAACTTTTCTTACTGTATGTTTTATTTTTATTTAATGCCCTGCCTGCACATTACCTAAAATTCATCTTAAGTAATACTGTCCAATAGAAATATAATGTGCAGCAGAGATATTTTAAAATTTTTACTAGCCACATTAAAAAAAATGAAAAGAGGGGCGCCTGGGTGGCTTAGTCGGTTAAGCGTCCGACTTTCACTTAGGTCATGATCTCGCGGTTCATGGGTTCGAGCCCCGCGTCGGGCTCTGTGCTGACTGCCAGCTCAGAGCCTGGAGCCTGTTTCAGAGTCTGTATCTCCCTCTCTCTCTGACCCTCCCCTGCTCACGCTGTCTCTCTCTCTCTAAAAAGAAAAAAAAAAATGAAAAGAAACAAAAACTTAATTTTAATATTTTATTTAAACTCAGATATCTAAAATATTGTTTCACATATTTAAAAAATATAAAACTTATTGTAGGAAGTACTTTATACTTTTTTTTCATATAGTCTAAATCAGGTATGGATTTTATACTTACAGTACATATCAATTCATCCTAACCACATTTCAAGTGGTCAGTAGTCACATGAGGCTAGTGGTTACAGTAAAAGCACAAAAGCCCCACACTGCTTAAGGAAATATAAGCTGGAATCAGGAGGTCTAGGCTCTAGGATCCTTTGTGGTTAACATGGATATGACCCCTCGCAGCCCATTAACCTTTCTGACCTTCATTTCTGTGCCTCAAGTAAGAAGATTTCACTGGCCATCCCTGTGGTTTCAAGCTGTCCTTCTCTACTATGACTGCCATTTGTTTCTTTCCTTAAGAAGGAATTTGTTTCTTTCCTTAAGCTTTACCTAAAGCTTCAACCCTACTCTCAGAAACCTCCAAACAATAAGTTGCACCATAGCCCTTCAAAGGGTACACATTGTTGGTGAATGTTGTCATAGAAGAGCAGATACAGAGATGGTTTATACCTGAAAGTTACAGTGCCTTAAAGCAGCCTCAAAAAGAAGCAGCAAAATACATGAAGAATCAGCATTCATCTGCATGTTCTTTCACCCATTCATTAATTTATTCATCCATTCAACCAATGTTCATTGAGCCTGCTCTGTATCAGGCCCTGTGCCAGGTGTTGGATTGAGACAGTTGATTAGGATATAATCTTATCAGTGGTGGGGGATGGGCTGGGAAGAGTTTGGAGAGACAGTATGACAAGTACAGTTGACTAAACCCAAGTTTCAGAAGCAAAGAAATGGGACTCCAAATGCAATCGAGGGCTTCCTGGAGAAGTGGACACTTGAATGATGAAAAGGAGGTAGCCAGACAATAACCAAAAAGCATGTTTTAGATAGAGGAAGTGGCAGGTGCAAAGTATAGGCAAGAAGTATATCTGGAGAACACCAAGTAATTGTCATCAGATTCAACGTGGAGATGGTAGTGAGAGATGACAGTGTTGACATAGTAATTAGGGTATAGATTTGGAATGTCTTCAATGACAGCTAAGGAATTAGACCTTGTCCTGAAATCAGGAACACTGAAGACTACCAGTTGGTTGCATAAAAATATTTATATTTGATAAATATCTTTCTGTCTGCAGAGTATAGAAGGAATAACAGAGAACCAAGGAGACTGGTTAGGAAGCTGCTCAGTGGTCAAGACTTGAGAGAAAGAAATGCATTGGCGAGACATTTAGGAGGGAGGATTCATGGATTTAATTGACTTGTTGCTGCTGGTGAGGGAAAGGGAAGAGGCAGAAGGAATAATAACATGTTTTGGCTTAGTTAGCTATTAGATAATGGCAATATTCTCTAAAATAGGGACCAGAAAAGGGGAAACAGCTTTATTGACCTGAAATCATCCATATTGTGTAGAAGTTCTGGAAACTACCAAAGCAGGTTTGGGTAGGCTTTGGAAGGTTGCATGCACAGGAAGTGGATGTTTGTCTTAGGTAAGAGTTATACATATCTATTTCACATTCACTGGTAAGGAAACAAATGGATCAATATATATTCAATAATATGAAGCTTTACTGCATAGCTTAAAATTATAGTTTTTTTTTTTTTTCATAGAAACCTTGAATCATTCTGAAAGTAAGATAAAAGATGTTACAGCAGTAACTTAGCTATCCTGGAAGTATCTTCCTACAAGAGTGATTGGGCCTCTAAAGTTTATGAATTACAAGGAAATAGTGTCTTTTGTTTGTTTTTTCTTTTGTTGTCATTTTTGGTCTCTTTTACTCAGCCAAGATGAAGATTAAAATCTTCATGAAAGCCAAGTAAGAGCTTCCCTCCAGGGTTCAGGAAGGACCAAGCACAGGTTTGTTGAGAACTATGAATGCATTCACACTTATTCCCAAATGTGACACTGGTTGCTTTGTATGGATTTCACCAGTGCTGCTGTTTACAATTCTCATTGCAAAGACAAAGATTAGAAAAGGACACCAAATAAATGAGACAGCAATCAAGAAGACAATCGCTTAATAAAAGAACAGAGATAAAAACAGTAGGGTCAACAAAAGAATAAGTATATAAATCAGACAAAAGATGAGAGAGGACCAGTGAGTTCTCTTCTTTAAATTTTTGCAAAATGAAGATGATTTTTTAAAATACTGACAATTAAAAAAAATAGGTTAAGGAATTACTTCTTCAGGGAGGTAAAAGGCCCCAAAAGGATCCCCCCAGGCAGATATTCTTAGACAGAAAGCCAGAGTCAGTTGATTCTTCCTCCCAGGCAAGTAATAATAATACCAAGAAAAATAATAGATTTCCTAACTTAAGCAAATTGTTAAATTGAAACACAAATATGGCAGTCTCACATCCACTTGAAATCAGTTGATTTTTGTCAACATTAAGATGACAACAGACACCGCTGGGCATGTCATTTATTTATGGGAGAATTTTGCCAAATAAAAATCTATTGTTTGCTGTAAGGAAAACTCGTTGGTTATTTTTAAAACGGAGATCGGTAATGATTTCCTCTTGACAGCTGTTCACACACACTAATTTTTTGCTCATCCTAATCCAGTGGAAACCTTGAAGTTAAAAGGACTTCAAATAAGCCCCTGCTCTCAAGTGTTTTCAATCCTGTTCAATTCAGCACTGAATGAAACTGGTTAGGAGGGAAACTGCTTGTGTTTCCAAATTCAGTGTTCCAAGAACATGTTGTTATAGTTAGTGAGCATTACATGAGCCATCTAAATTTAGCAAACATTTTCATTCCCTTGCCCAAGCCCACCCACTGCAGTGGATGGAACTTTGATTTCATCCACCCTCATCTGGTTAATGTAAACCCCTTGGGTTCTACAAAGGCTGCTGAGCAAGAACGGTGAATGCAGAAATGTTAGGAAAGCATGTAACCTTTGGACCTAAAGAGGATTGCAGGCGTGGGGGCAACTAAGACTACATTGACTAATTTCAGTTGGCTTTTAAACTATTACCTTATCCACATCAAATCTCCTTTGTTTGTCTGAGAAGCACCTGGAAAGATGCCTAATTAGGAGAAGCTGGCTTGCTGTTTACCTGAGGAGCTGGCCTTCAGCACTCATGGTGGCTTCACTCTGAGCAAAGGTTGGGTTAGGACATCATAGCTCCCCTCCACGTTGATGACTGTGAGTGCAGTCATGTTTAAAAATCTGTAGGCTTAACATGGAGTCTGGATTACTGAGGTTGAATGGAAGCTGCCTTGTATAATACAGGGTTGCTGTGGGAAAGAAAAGAACAGAAAATTTGCTCCATACAATGTTATATATAGTAGGTTGTCAATAAATTATGGATGAATAAATTAATCATGGCCATTTCTAAGCATAAGGACAAATCTATGATCTTGAATCAAATCTGCATAGGAATTTTTCTCAAACTTTACTGCTTAAGTGCAGCAAATAATGCGAGGAGCTGAAGAAAAATGAATTATCTAAGATTAGGCAAAAACAGGTCATTGTAGGAGTTTCTTTGAAGTCTTAGGTCCTATCTTAAAAGTTCATGCAAATTTTATACTCTACACTGTAGTATATAAACATCAGTTTATGGCTTCAGGTACTATCCTGCCAAATAGTGTGGGTAACATGGCAATTTCTTTCTGTCATGTCGGTTAAATAAAAGTTTAGAAAAAGACTTTGTGAATGACATATCTACCTTGAATTTGTATATCCAATGTTTGTGTAAATTACATGTATATTTTTTTAATTTTATTTTTGGAATTTCATTATCAATCAGTAGATGCATTTTGATGTTTTCAAATGATTAGAAATATTTCATACCTTAATATATTTAAGGTCTGTAATAGGGGAGAAAAACATGTCATGAATAAAGTAAATAATCTTGTATTAACCACTAGATATGTATCTGTCACTACTACAGTATAGAATGAGGTATTAGAAAAAAATTGCTAATATTCCAACATATGTGCTATGAAGATAAATGATTGTTAAGAAACCCTCTTGACATTTAGATACATTGCTTTACAATAACACCTTCTGCAAATACAATGAGGATGTTATCTACACGTTTTCTTAGAGAGATGAAAATAAAGTTTCATCTTCCCTTATAGTAGCTGTTACAAATAAAAGAGAATGAAATTCCCTTACTCTTAATGCACTGAAAATAATCCACAAGTGCTGAGTTCTTATATCTAGATACTAAGTTCTAGTTGTGAGTTTCAGGCAAGTGTGATAAATACTAAAATAAGGCAAATTAGATTTCTATTGTTCACTTGGGTTATGTTTTATTAGAGTTAACCAAAAATTCTTGGATGAAGCTAGTTTCAAGCCCTGCAGACTTGTCCAAAATCAGGATTAAGGACAGACTTTTATATCTCCATGTTGACCAGGGGACATAAACTTAGGTGAGATAGCTCCCTTCTGGATAAGGCCAATCTCCACAGGAGCCTCAATCATAAGCTATCAGTTACCAACATGCAGTAGATAGGGGAATGAGTGCTTCAGTCTTGATGTAGGTAGGATGGGTAATCAGGCCAACATACCACAGTGACTACTACAGTAACCTCTGTTGGGACTCCAAGATTATTCAAAAGCTCAGCTACTTTCTCTTAGAAGGCAGACACAGTATTCTCACTATCCCTGTGCCTTACCACAGTGCTTGACACCTAGGAAGTGCTCAGTCAGTTTGTTGACTAGCATTCCCCTGAAACACAGAGACAGGCTTGTGCTTCACCTGACACTAAGCCCAAAAGACAAACAATCTTGGGTTCCAAATTGTAAAGGCAAAACCTTTGAAGTAGAAGGAAATTGTAGGCAAGGGTAATTGTCAGATAACGTCAGAGAATGCTGTGTATAAAATATACATGTGGAAGAAACTCTCCTAAATTGATTTCATTGTATTTTATTTTAATTATGACTGGTTTATTAGAATCAGCTTACTGCTTCTTCAGATTTCAATAAGTAGTATGTTTGGTAGGAAGGAATATGCTAAGATGTAATCTTAAACATGGATTATTTTGAATAAATGATTTCATTCATTTAGCTTATGTTTAATGCATATTCATTGCGTATCAGGGACCATTGCATATAAAGATAAGTAGTGCTTGACTCTTCCATAGTCCTGGGGAGAGACCAGCACAAACTAATAATTATAGGAAATCAAGGTAAGAATTTTGTTGGAAAGGATATAGGAGCCACTTCCAGAAGATAGCAGCAATGGTGTTATTAAAAAGGTGAAGCTTCATTAATATCTTTATGTGTACTCTCTTTCAGTGTAGAATTTGGTTATAAGAAAAATATCTAGGGGTGCCTGGATGGCTCAATCAGTTAAGTGTCTGACTTTGGCTCAGGGCATAATCTCGCAGTTTGTGAGTTTGAGACCTGCATTGGGCTCTGTGCTGACAGCTCAGAGCCCAGAGCCTGGAGTGTGCTTCAGATTCTGTGTCCCCTCTCTCTCTGCCCCTTCCCAACTCATGCTCTGTCTGTCTGTCTCTCTCTCTCAAAAAAAAGCATTTAAAAAGTTTAAAAAGAAGAAAAATAAAGAATAATATCTTCAGTGCATGTGGACCTCCCAGCAAGGGAAGATTAGAACTGAGTCCTTAAAACATTCTAGGAATTCTTTTAGTATTGAGAATTTTTGTCTTCTGCCACCTCTGAGACCACACTCCTTTTTATAACTTCCATCCCCCCGTTTGTAAGACAAAGTGTGTCAGTGAAACATCAAAAGGAGAACAAAAAGAAAATTAGACCCAAATATGACTGAATATGATATTCAGAGATGTACAAATTGAATAATACCAAAATTCATACAAATTCCTCAATATTTCTGTTGTGGTGAAAGATTTTCTAATTGTTCCTGCTCCTTTCCAACTGCCCTTACAAAGATATATTTTTTGTTGTTGTTAACCATCTGCTAATTAACAGAAATCTAACTCTTATGTGTCATAGAGCCTTGTGATAACTAAATCTAATTGCTCTAGATTGTTCTTTCCTTCTTTTATTTTTTTGTCTTCTTCCTTCCTTCCTTCATTAATCTTTGAGCAAAATATGAAGTACAAGGATAATAAAGCATGACCCCCATGTATACATATATACATATTGATACATACATGTATATGGTACATATACATGTATGTATGTATGCACACACATACAATGCACACTTGCCATTTTAAATATATATAGTAGTATACAGAAGGGGAAGTTACACAATTTGGGAAAGAAATTAAGGGAGGTTTCCCTGAGGAGTAACACCTAAGTGATAAAGGATGATGTGGTAGTAGCTACCCTTGAAGATGGTCTCTAATGATCTTCATTCCCTGGTGTTCACATCCTTGTGTGGTGTTTTCCCACAATGAAGCAGGGCAGACCTGCATGACCAAGAGAGTACTGCAGAAATAATGTTGTGTAACTTACAATGCTAGAGCACAAAATGCTTTGCACCTGGAGCCTTGGTCTCTTGGATTATTTGCTCTAGGAAATCCAGCCCCCATGCTATGAAAACTCTCAAACAACCCTAAGCAGTGGCTCATATAGAAGGGTACTGCCAACATCCAGCCCCAACTTGCCAGCCATATGATTGTGTCACTTGGAAATAATCCTCCAATACAGTTAAGCCTTCAAATGGCTCAGGCTGACCCCTGACAGCAACTGTTGAAAGGCTCCAAAATAGAATTGTCCAACTAACCCTTTTCCAAATTCCTGAACAGACACTCTGAATAATAATAAATACTTATCATTGCTTTAAGTTATTAATTTTGGGGTAATATGTTATACAACAATAGAAAACTAATATAGTTGGGCAGGATTAGGCAAGTGAAGACCACGGGAGTTGAGTGAAGAAGGAAAAGGGAAGGTATTCTGGGAAAAACAGAAACAACAAAAGCTCTGAAATTGACAAGAGCTAAAAGTGAAGCTCTAGTGCAAGAGAGTTAATCTTAGGATCAAAAAGTTTTTGTTTTTTCTTTTTTTTAATGTGGTTGGAGAGGTAGCCAGAGCCAAGTCATTTGGTCATTTATTAGTTAATAAATTTGAAGTTGATCTCAACAAACATTCTCAACAATGGGCTCTCTGCATCTCTAGATTCAGCTGAATTTACAGAGTTAAAATCTCTGTGGGTATAGCCTTAGAATATGCTTTTTAATAATATCCTCAGCTGATTCTCAAGTCCATGCAAATTAAGAATGTGGTGACAAATGAAGAGCAATTGACAACTTTTTAAGAAAAGAAGAACTTAGTCAAAACTGAGTTTCAGATCGACCATGGCAGCTATGTGGTAAATGGATTGGAGAGGCACAGACTGTTCACTGGCTTGCAGTTAAAACAGTTTTCACAGGGAAAGCTCCTTGCTTTCCATTCAGCCTAGCTGAAATCCAATGTCTGATATTTGCTTATTATCCAGGACATCAAATTCAAACCTAATCTGGCCTTTAAAATCTAGCAATAGACACATTATCTAATAATAGCTAATGTTTAGTGTACATTTATTATCTGCCAGGCATGTTAAGAAGCACTTTTATATGCATATAGAAGCTAAGTGAGTAGTTCAAAGTCACAGAACTGGGAAGTGGCAGAGTCAGGATTCAAACCCAGAGCCAGTGTTCTCACTGTCTTCTAATGTGGTTCTTCCACTTCACAGTTTGCTATCCCCCAATGGAGTCCCAAAGGAACATTTATCTATTTATCTTCAAAATTTTCATATAGCTAGTTGATCTTCACCACTCTGATCTTCTGTATAACATTTCTCCTCCTGAGATGTTTTCCCTGTTCCTAAAGCAGTGGAAAGAATACCAGCTCTGGAGTCTCTTTTGTGTTCAAATCCTGTCTTTGATTATTTAAATATGTGATCTTAGGGAAGTCTTTTAATTTTACAATTTGTCTTCTCATCTTTAAACTGGTAATAAAAAATGTTTATATGATTATTGTGACAATTGAGTAAGAAAACATTTTTTTAAATGGTCAGTATACTAATGGCCCATATGAGGTGCTCAATAAATGATAATTTTCTATTTCTTTCCTGTCCATGTCTTCTATAGTTCAGAGGTCACAAACTCTTGAACCTGAGAGCCATATTCATCTACTAGATATATTTTATTTGGTTGGTATAATGTTTTTTTGATGTGTGTGTGTTAAAAAATACATAGCATAAAATTTACCATCTTAATCATTTTTAAGTATACAGAACTGTAGTGTTAAATATATGCAAATTGT